TATCATTCATGGTTAATTAGAATCCTCCTTAAAATACACATAAATATATGTGTCAATTAAGAGATTCATTTTTATTTTCAAGGTATAAATCTCCATCAATTAACAACGAACCAGGTTTACACTTTTCGGATAATATCAGAAGGGATTTTTGTGGATATTATAGTAATTTAATAGTTGAGTTCATGAGTCATTTGAAGGTAGAACACCATGGAAAAATTGGAAATACTGGAAGGCCATTTCGTCCTAGTAAGGGACTCCTCAGAAGTGCTCATTCACGATCCCGCCTTGCGAGAACCGAACCCAGGACCTATAGGACTTATAGGAATATCGATACTAAATCTCAATGACGAGTTGTTATGAGAAAGACAAGTAAGTCATGGTAGGTTTCCTTCTAAATATCTCAAACAATATGAAATAGATTACACTTCCCAAGTTCATGATATCACACATCTTACTTTTAAAAAAATCTAGTGACTGTGTTTATATTGGTCATTGAATAGTTTAAAACCAAATAATCTTCAGTATTAATTTATGATAATAATATGAATTATAACTACTTGTAAGTTTAACGCTTTTTAAGTAAATTTCAGCATCTTTCATCAACTATTATGCGATCAGAAATTGATTTCTTTTATGTTTTGACACTAATAAATTATCAAAAGCATTAAACAATTGTTTTAATTCTGTTTTGAAACTCTTAAGCAATATAAACTATACTGGATCAAACCAAGAACTTCCTCAGTATAGGGTTGTGGAGATTACTAAGTTTTTAATTGAGATCATGAACTGATTGATGTTAGCTGGAACGTGGATGTGTACTACTGAGGAATCCCACAATAGAACGAATCGGCTGTCCACTGCTTCCAGGTTTTTAATAGCGGTCTAACATTAATCGGTTCATGGTTTCAATCAATAACTTTCTACTAAAGCGGTATCGATGATGTATTTAGATTATAGGAATTGTATACTATAGGATGAATTCCTTGTATGATTATAATTATGGACTAATGAAGTGTCTCAGACTAAACCAATACAATTATCCACTGCATTCTATTTAGAAATAACAATCTTTTAAAGTGAAAACGTGAAATTATTTCAATTCCGTCCAATATAATGATTTTTCTGAAGTAATGATATTGTTTTATAATACCAGTCAACTAAGTTCACTCCAACTTTTTCAACGATGAATCTATTTCACTTTGCATATAAGTGAATACCTCTATTTATTAAACATGAACTGACGAAGTTTACCATTGCAGTCTTTAATCTGATATCAAACAGTTTTTGACTAAATTACATAGCATTACTGAAGTTTACCTAACTGTCTCAATTGTATAATAAATAGGACGAAATGCGCGTCCTGGATTCCACTGATAGCCACCATCCATCTTTGTTTATAATGCTTGTGAATTAAGGCAATATCAAGGCAATACGCACGGTATACACATATTCCAAAGAGAGACTGACCAATTGCAGTCCTAATCATTAATGGGAAGATTCAAGTAAACAATGTCAAATGAATATAATAAATTCTTATTTGTCTAGACATAGTTAAGTTTATCTAAACAATAATTCTAAACTCACTTGGTATTGTTTACTTGTATCTTTTCATTGTTGCTTTGGGATTGCAATTGATCAATCTCTTGTTGGTATATGTGTATCCTATGCAAACGGCATCGACATTGCCTCAAGTCACGAAAACATGTTATTTAAATGCAATTACTTCTAACTTATTTTTTTCTTTGTCTATTTAAATGATGATGTGAGTGATGTAAACATATAAATTCGATGGGAGCTGATACGTAGTAATCATGTTTGATAGCAAAATAGTACTCTCTTCAATCTTTGTTTGGAATAGACCAATTGGTTAACTTTACAGATTATGGCTTGCCACCAGAATTCTAGAAATCGATTTCTTAAATGTAGCCGACTATAAACACAAGTTTAGTCTTAATAATCATATGGTCACTGGTGACTAGTTTGAAGTCGTGATTCCTCAAATTCTAATAAGAAGTCGTAACCAATAAAATTCAAACTTGTCGCGGGTGAACAATTTATCCATAGAATGTAGTGAAAAATGGTTGCACAATATCGTGAATTGATTAAAATTAGACATATGCACTACTAGATATAGAGATTGAGCGTTCGAGCTCAAGTTCGAAGATCCTAAGCAAAGTTCTCCATGAGGTCGTGGACGCATGCTGTTCAAACGTCTCATATTGGGATGAAATAGCTAATCGATGCTTCCCAATTTTCAATAGTGACCTAACAAACTTCACTTCAAAGTTAAATAATAAAATCCTACATTCTCAATAAACCATACAAGTTTATTCATTTAGAGATATGGTATAATCCTTTCTCTTGGTAAAACTTATTAGAAATTAAATTTTTTATCTAAAACCTGAAAGACAAGAATACGTTTGCTTCACATCCCGTTGTGTTTACTAATTTAAGTGTGTGTGTGTGTGTATGGTCACATATACATAGGGAGGGGTGATTGTGATCTCAAAATTAGGATGTGTGAACATGTACCTAAATGTTTGCAAAAAAAATAGAATCAGATGACCCATCCTCTATTGGCAAACACATCATTGAAAAAAGTCATAAGATTGATCATAACTCGGTTTTTGTATAGTATTGTACAAAAGTTCAAAAGGGCGTATGCTAAGGTTTATTTAAGCCTTAGCCATAAGAAAATTCAACCCCCCTCTGTGTATTCAAAAACAGTTTGTTCTCAACATAAATCTACCCTTGTAATGTTAGCTAATTATCCAGAGTGTTGAGGTTTCAAATTGTTTTTACATTATTCACATTATCCTTGTCTTCTCTTACCTTCCATTTCGAATCTAGTTGACCTTAGCATTTATATAATATATGATCAGATTGTTCGAAATGTATTGCGCTAATATATCGTCACAAAGTTCCGATAATGTTCATCTTCTTATTACATTATCGAAATTTATCAAAGGTACTAATTACGTTAAATTGATTATTAAGAACAGACAACATAAATCAGTATTAATTTAGTATAAATTTTACGTTATCTTTCAGAGCTCTAAATGAACTTCCATGGGTTTGTATCAAATTCATTGTGCTTGAATCATCATAACGATCAGCTTTACATTGTACTAAAGTTTTTCCTAATTTCGAACTATATATATATATATATATATATATATATATATATATATATATATATATATATATATGTAGCAACAACCAACTGTAGGAAAGAACAAACTAATTCCCAGTGGAGGAAGAAATCAGGAAGAAGCACTGGAAGTGGATGGTGCACACATTGAGGAAAGCACCGAACTACGTAACAAGACAAGCCCTCACATGGAATCCTGTAGGCCAAAGGAAAAGAGGAAGACCAACGAACACATTACGCCGGGAAATGGAGATAGACATGAGAAAAATGAACAAGAATTGGATGCAATTAGAAAAGAAGGCCCAGGACAGAGTGGGTTGGAGAATACTGGTCAGCGGCCTATACTCCATTAGGAGCAACAGGCGTAAGTATGTATATAATGAGGCTTTTTATGTTATAAAAAAGAAAAGAAAGTGTACCATTTGAATTTCACCATCTTTTTTTTCTCTAATAATTTACCATTACGGTATAAAGTTTTAACTTGAAATAAAAAATCAGTGGGAGATATAGTGAATTTAAAGTCATGGCAGTAGAATTCAAAACGCAAGTTTCATTCAGCTCGTTATACCTACAGAATATATTTAGTTAGAATTATTTGTTTTATGGTGAAGTGTTATTCTCTGAGCTAGATGGTTTGATAGTGGAATTTTTATTGTTCTTTTGAATAATATTATCAGCACAAAACCTCTACGTGATAACATTGATGAGAAGAACAATGAAAGCTCAACGATTAAACTGTCGAGCTCAGAAAATGAAATTCTGCTAAAATCATCTACCAGCGCTACAAACCTTCTGTATCATTTCAGAATTATTACTTTATTTATTTGTCTGAGATTTGTAAATGTTGAAGTAGTTAGTGTGAAATGAGTACTCGAATTAATCTGTTGATCCACTGAAATGACGATGAAAACGGTAGTAATAAATGAAGCGCGAGAGAAGTAATGATCCGATTACTAATAAGACAACATATTCATTCGAATATTACGTAATGTGTTATATAACATCAATGGTATAAGCGATATTGATATGAACTGAGTGCTGAATAAATTAGTTAAATGAACAAGAAAAATTGTGTTAATAATAATAATAAGGGGATCAAATAAATGAAATTTATGATATGACCATTGGTTCATTGAGTCTGAGTATAACTAAATTAAGAAAGGTAGTTGAATATACGATTTTTGGATGTAGAGCTTCAGTTTCTTATCGTTTATGGCTATTGCTCCTCCCATTTAAACTGTTCTGTGTTTGTTCGCTATAGTAGATTAGTACTATTACGATAGACTGTGGAATTGGTTGCTTTTTTCTAGATTTATAGGCTTTTTGAACAATGTAGGCGACAATTGAACAGTTTGCGGTTAAAGATAAACCTATGGTTATTCATCCTAGAAGATACTCAAAAATTTAATATGCTTTTGAGAAGCGATTGCATACAAAAGTAAACAATGTCAGTCGTTGGTTACATAAAATCTAATAGATGAACTATATAGACTGTCCATGTCCTTCTTTATCTATCAGCATAACAAATATCATCTGTAACCATATAAACTAACACTTTCCATTAGTTATCCTCAACCAAATTGAAAAATAGTTTAATCCAATCTTCATTAAATGGATATAGATGTCAAATTCATGCAAATTGTAGCATTATAATTTACATTATGAAACCTAACTAAGTAAATAGATGAGTTGAAATCATGAGTCAATTTAAGCTAGACCACCATAGAAAACTTGAAGCTACAATTGCCTCATGATTTCAACAAGTGAAATTTCTAAAAGTCTCCACAAAAGCCATTCTGATAAAAATAGATAAGTTGTTAGATCAAAAAAATGTCTTTTTTTTGTTTACCTTTGGTACTACATTATCATACAAATTCATATCCTTCGTCAATGATATTTGATATGTGTTTAGTTTCAAATTGTTTGATGAATACAATATATTCTGTTTTGTTCCATTTGTTTCATTACCACTAATTAATGGTTTACTATATATATAAGATTGTACTGTTGAACAAGTACAAGTAGTTGAATAATTTATTTCTACATCATTTATTGATGAATATAATCCATTTGATTGAAAAGTATTTACTGGTACAATGGTTGGTTGTAAATAATTCATTGTATCCTGTTGATTAGATATAGATGGTATATTGAATTTTTCTTTTACACACTTATTATGTAATATAGTTTCTGGTGTATGAATTATTTCTGTTTCACCAGCTAACATAGCATTATCAACTTCATGTCTCCATTTAGTAATAGCTCCAAATTTTTCACGCCATAATTCTGTATGAATTAAATGATCATTTGGCTGATCATTTGAATCATTTTCTTCTGCTTCTTCTTCTTCTTCATCATCATCATCATCATAATTATGACCTTTAATAATCTCTATAGGATTTTTATGATATTGAAATTCAGGTAATAATTTAACTTTTTGAATAGACTTTTGATGTATTATATCATTTTTATAATCATTAAAATATAATGGATTATTAGTTTTAGGATATGATGATCTCCCAGATACTGTAGCTAATACATGTTCTTCATATCGTGAGCTGCTGGTGAAAGTGACATTTTTAATTTAGAATTCACTTGTTCATTTTCATAATTATCATCATGATCATCTATGCAGTTTTCATCATCTTCCTCCTCCTCCTCCTCATCATCATCATTTATATAAGAATCATAGATAATCTTTTGTGATAATGATAAATTATTTACTTCATTGAATGGTACTAGGTAACTTCTTAGTTTCTGTGTAGTTTTATCTTTTATTTGATTATGATTCAATAATTCAATAGATGAATGATAATCATTCACAATTTGTTTTGTATCTATGAAATTAGATGTTGTAATTGGCGAATTAATAAATGATAAAGTAGTATGCTTCAAATGATGATTAGAAATTTGTTTTAATTTTTTATTCAATGAAATATGTTTAATTTTTTAGAAAATGATTCTGATCTATCAATTCCAATTAATGGTAAATCATTTTTTCGATCTAAATTTAATCGATTCAGATCTGTTAAATAAGATTTTGAATCATGATATATTGGTATAATAAAATGATGAATCAATGGTGTATTTGATTGTTTAAATGATTTATTTAATTTTTTTAGAAATTGATTATTTTTTTGAATATTTAATTTGACCAATCAGAATGTTTGTTTAAATGATTATTATTATTATCATCATTATTTGTCTGTGTTATATAATCAATAAATGTGTAGGGGTGATTTTTTTTGTATTTTTGATTATATGATCATTATCAGTATGTCGATTAGTTCTTTGAAGATCATCTGATGATATACTAGAAGATAGATTAACTTTATGATTATGATTTTGATATCGGATACAATGACGTTTTAATGTCAGTGATTGAGGACGTAAATATTCATGATAATAATTCAAATATTTTTCTTTATTATAATTAGAAAATTCTATATTACTTCGACATAAACGTTTTTCATTGAATATCATTTGTTTCATTGAATTATTTGAATTGATTTTATGATAATGATGGTGATCATGATCATGATCATGATCTTTAGTTGTTTGTGTATTTTCAGTAAGAGTTAATGTTGAATTAGAATAGTGATCATTTAATTGATCTGGATCAGATATTTGATCACAATTTTGTTCATTATTATTATTATCATTATTATCTAATTCATGATCAGTCATTAAACGAATAAATGAAGGTGAATATCCTTTACCTATATATTTTATTTTATTATTATTATTATCTAATTGATTATTTTTTTTAGGAAATGATTGTAATTGATTTATATTAGAATCAATAATTGGTGAATTATTACTATGATTTGATGAAATTGGGCTTATACACACTGATGAAGCTTTGAATCGTGAAGTTTTTCCTAAATATTCATTAGATTGTCTTTTATTTTTATTTTCAGAAGTTCGATATGTACAATCAACACTACTAGATCTTAAACATAGATCGTTTACTTTATTAGACATATCTATAGTAACAGATTTTGTCATTGAATGATCGTGTATAGTTTTATTCCTTCTAATTCTTGGTGGTTTTGGTCTAAATAACTTTCCCAACAACGTTTAGCTAATTCAACTTTATTTAGATTTGTATGATAAATATTCATTTGATCTAATAGAGATTGATTAGTAGATCCAACTTTTCGTTCATTTGACATAACAGATTGATGATTAGTCTTTTTTGTTTTCCTATCTAAAGTATTATTGAATGTAGTAGTAGTAGTACTACTACTGTTATTCAATAGATTGACTTTATTCGAATTGTTATGATCATTTATCAATCTTTCACTAAGACATGTTTGATCTGGTACATTTAAAGGATTCCTACTCTCATCCGATGAAGTTGGCTTTAATGAGTTAGAACAAGTTTCTTGATCATTTAATTGATTTTCTTTTTTAATTTTTCTTTCATATTGTTTTCTTTTAGATGTTGACATTGAACAAGTGTTGTTAATAAACTTTCTTCACTATACTGTGATAGATTTGATTTAGATATTGAATTATTTTTTATTTTATTTATGAAATCATTTTCTGTCGAAAAGTTTTCATTAGCTATGAGTAACCTATCGAATTCAGAATGGGAAACACTTTCTGCTATTAATGATTGTGGTGGACTATGAAGCCAATATTTTGGAGATAATTCATTTGTAATTTTTTCATCTGTTTTAATAGGATATCTTTTCAAATCTGTAGTCTCAATATTATTATTCTGGTTAGGTCTATTGTTGTTACAATTGTCAACAGTTAGATTACTTCGATGAGGTACAGCTGGTGCAGATGTTCTTCGTGATTGATTTTTTACTGGACTAAGATCTGGAGCTGGATAAGGTGGTGCAGGTAATGAAGGTGGAAACATTTGTCTTTGACTTGTTGATGTACTTGAAGATGTAGAAAATCTCTGATAATAAACGAAAAAGTTGGAATGAGTTGCGTACTTTAAAACTTTCAGTAGATAAATTAACTACTTTTAGTGATATTTAAATAAATTATTCGGTACTTTTGCAATTCACCTTTACTTGAATGTTTAATGATTATGCTAAAAGTCCTAACTTATAACTGTCAAAATGTTATCTTGCTCTGAAATTCAAATCGATAAGTGTATGGATTTTAATATTATCATACATTTGATTCTTCAACGGGAGGAAGTCAATAAGATCTGGATGTTTGTTTTCTGAGTCCAGTTATTCATCAGCCGCTCAATGTAGAATGTTTACTCATCAGTTCAAATGTTTTTACAGTAATCAAGATCAAGTGAATAGTAAACTCACTTAGATGATGCTTATGATTACTATCAATTGGAATTAAGTACAAAGAAAGATACCGTTGTTAAACCTTCAGCGCTAATAATTACAAATTTGTATATCTGGATTAGATTCATTCGTTCACTTAACGGTTATTATTATTATTATTATCATTATTACTATTACTGCTCACGATCCCACTCTTAATCGTACATAATACTAGAATTCTTGTTATGTATGTGTATTTATGTGAGATTTGTGCATTGAGTTGTAGCTCTTCATGTTTATAGACCACTAGTTACGGTCTCTAAGAGCTATTTCCTGGAATTCTAGTGAGAAGCAGTGACCAATGGAGTTCAACCGCGTCTGTTGTGAGAAAGAAGCTCACTGATGACAACGGTGGATTTTTCGCTCGATTTCATGGATTAGTCGAAGTTAAACATTAGCACGGCCGCCCAGTGTTTCCAGGTTTTCCATGGTGCTCTAGCTTTAATTGACTAATGAGTTCAACTATTAAAAATTACATATTGAAATATTCAAAGATTAGTCTAAAGTAATTTCTAACGCTTTATTAAATTGGGACATTATGGAATAATAGAACTTACAGTATAGCTGATGCCTCACAAAATTCATAACTGTTTAACAACGGGATATCTATGAAAGCCATACCTTTTATTATCATTTATCCATTAAAAATGTGAATTTTGCCAAATTTATTTCTTTATACTCGACATAATTTTTCGTGTATATTTCGTGGTACTTAAATATATATTTCAGTAGTACAAAATGTATTTTGTTTTTATTTGTGTATAATTGATATTCATTTATTAGTTCGCGCAAAATGCCAAGTCAGATAATTTGAAAGTATTTTTCTCATAATACTGTCACTTATTGAACCCCATTTGTTATTTAAGCAACTTGATAAACTTAGCCATATTCATTTTCCTATATCGATCAATTAAACATTCTGCTGGAATGTGACCAGGAATTCAGTCATTCAATTATTGCACCCAACAGCTAATTTTCAACTCCATTCTGAGAGTTCAAAGTGTTCAAACCACCATGGATGCTTGACATTACACTGATCTTCAGATAGAGTACATACATCTTACTTCTGATAATGGCCCGAGTAAACACTCAAAATGTACATTATTATCTGATTTTTTCTTCATTACTCATGATGGTTAGTTTTCGCAGTCTAAAAACATCAACACGTAACTTGTTCAACTATCCAAGTCAGTTCATACTTGCAAACAAACGATTTTATAACTGAGCAGTAAGTACAAATTCAAATATTAACATTACAATAATGAAAATCTGTGCATACTTATACTAATTACATTAATTAAAATTGGCAACTTTGATCATTGTGTTGGAAAATTTCAATCTTAGTAACAAATGATAATAATAAGGGTAACCTTATTGAACAAGATAATATGATCTACTTCACAAACTATAAAACAGTCAGACTTTATTTCAGTGGATAATCACCAAAAATAATTTAGCTTATTGAAATTAGAAATACCACATATAATTTGAAAATATTCAATTTTTGAAACTATTATTCTTGTATATAAATCAATCGGCACTTTGGTAGTTAAAAAGTATGCATTAGATAACAAGGGTGTAAATTGATCTTGAAATATATACAGTTAAATTGCCTTTTGAAATATGCTTGTCAGCTAGAGAAACAAAGCAAACCACAAATCACTTAATCTCCTACTTACGCCTGTTACTTAAAATGGAGCATAGGCTGCCGACCAGCATTCTCCAACACATTCTGTCCCACTCTGCCTTCCTTTCCACTTCTATACAATTTTCGCTCATTCTTCTCATGTACATCTCCATTTCTTGACGTAGTGTGTTCTTTGGTCTCCTTTAGCTTTGAAGGATTCCATGTGCAGGCTTGTCTTGTGACACAGCTGGGTGCTTTCCTCAATGTGTGCACCATCCACTTCCAGTGCTTCTTCCTGATTTCTTCCTCCGCTAGGATCTGGTTTGTTCTCTCCCATAGTAAGTTGTTGCTAATAGTGTCCGGCCAACGGATCCGAAGTATTCTGCGTAGACACCTGTTAATAAACACCTGTATCTTCTGGATGATGGCTTCCGTAGTTCTCCAAGTTTCCACCCCATACAGTAGAACTGTGTTGACATCTGTAATGAGAATTGTGACCTCGGTGTTCGCTTGTGGACAATTGTTTCGAGTTCCAGATGTTGTTCAATTGAAGATACGCTGCTCTTGCTTTTCCGATTCTCATCTTTACATCTGCATCATATCCACCATGTTCATCAATGATGTTGTCCAGATATGTAAAGGTTTTTACATCTTCTAAATCTTCTCCATCAAGTGTGATTGGATTGGTCCATGCTGTGTCGTATCGAAGAGTCTTGCTTTTCTCTTTGTGTATGTTGAGGCTTACTGCTGCTGAGGCTGCTCCTACACTGGTCGTCTTCTCCTGCATCTGTTGTTGCGTTAGTGATAAAAGATCCATATTAGCTGCTAAGTCTAGATCGTCCAACTGCATCCTAGATGTCCATTGTATCCCGTGCTTCCCTTCAGATGTTGACGTCTTCATCATTCGGTCGATCACCAGGAGAAAGAGAAAGGGTGAGAGCAATTAGCCTTACCAGACTCGGTCTTTACTTCGACCGAGTCTGTCAGCTGTCCTCCATGAACTATTTTGCAGTTTAATCCATCATATGAATTCTGTATGATATTAACTATCTTCTGAGGCACGCCGTAGTGTCGAAGAAGCTTCCATAGTGTTGTTCTGTCCACGCTATCAAATGCTTTTTCGTAGTCAATGAAGTTGATGTAGAGTAATGAATTCCATTCAATTGATTGTTCCACAATGATCCGTAGAGTTGCGATTTGGTCTATACACGATCTATCCTTACAGAATCCTGCCTATTGGTCACGAAGTTGGGCATCTACGGAGTCCTTCATTCTGTTTAACAATACCCTGTTGAAGACTTTTCCCGGTATTAAAAGAGGAGTGATGCCCCTGTAGTTATCACAGTTGCTGAGATCGCCTTTCTTCGGTATTTTGATCAGAAGTCCTTCTTTCCAGTTTGTTGGTACTTGTTCCTCATCCCAAATCTTATTGAAGAGAATGTGGAGTATCCTTGCAGTTGCCGCTACGTCTGCTTTTAGTGCCTCTGCTGGAATTTTGTCTGGTCCTGCTGCTTTGTCACTCTTGATGTGTCTGATGGCCATGCTGGTTTCTTCAATTGTTGGTGGGCCAACATCGATTGGGAGCTCCATGTACAAATGATACATGTTAGTGACTTAATGGAAAATATATTTGGATTTTACAAGTACAATATACAGAACATATTAGCTGTGTTCATTAGGTCATTCACTTAAGAAAATGTAATATAAATCAATAAAAGAGTATTCTGTTTAAAATTAAGTTTTGTTTTAAATCTGTTTAATTGATGATTGAAAGATATTGATTATTGTTTATATTAGGTTCCATTGTGGTGTGTGCTACTTATATCCACATAGGTAGTATATAACGCTAGTCAGGAATAGAATGTATTTTAGTAGAAGATCGAGAAGATAAGAACGGAAACCGAAAGCGATTGGTATGAAAATGCAAGAACAATAAAGTCTGAGACAATGAACTGACATTTCACAAATTAACTATTCACTGTATGATTCTATAATTTTGTGTTCAAATACATTTGCTTGTCCTCATTTCTGTTCTCGTTCACTACACCATAGGTTTATAGATGTTCACTATTAACAATGAACATTTTTCAAGTGAGTTTATATAGTTTATGCCAGGTAAAGTACTTTATACTATTAACTATTTAATATATTTGACAAAATATATGTCCATCATTTGCATAGATATTCATAGGGATATGAATATAGGATTAGATGTTATTTAAAAGTAGTTGATATTACGGACAAACTTCAAGTGTATAATCATTCCTAACTAATAATTCATCAGTGATTATTTGAATGTTTATTTGTTTAACTAGATTTCAGGTATCATGGAAAGTTTCTCAAAGATTAGCAATAATAGTAATAATAATAACGAAGGAGTTTATCAGTGAAATAACGCGACTATGAACCATTTGATATCTGCTTATATAAAAGTTTCATAAAAAAAATTTTAAGAGATACCTTTAACCATAAAATTCATTATTCATCAAGTATATAACTTTCGTTTTCAAGTGGGACTTAGGAAATTTTAGTAATATAATATTTGAATTTATTAGCCAATTAAAGGTAGACTAGCATAGAAAACCTGGAAGCACTAGACAGCCGTTTCGTTCTGTTGTAGGAGTTCTCAGCAGTACGCATCCAAGATCCACCCAGTAGAATTTGAACCCAGGATCTTTCGGTTTCGCGCACGAATATATGTATATATATGATGTGTGGCAAGTGAAAATGAATATGACTGACTCTAGAGCATGTACTGACGGATACATCTGAATGACTATTTAATTTATTATTTTATTTCTATCATTGATTTCTATTCTGAACTTATTGAATACAAACCACTTATAAGCGTATTGAAAAAAGTATTCTCATCTATCCGAGTATCTGATAAAAACGTGACTCAATCTCTGTATAGTATATAGGTCATGTATTCACTTTAGTTTTTGATTAAAATCATGAGTCAATTGAAGCTAGACCACTATG